CTATGGTGTAAGCAAGGACGTGGTTGTCTGCAGCCCAGTGCATTTTTCGCTGCATGTGATTCGTGAGGAGGTGAGGTAACGTGTCTGAAAGGCTTGCCTGCTGACAGGGATAGCTTGATGATTCAAGTCTTGTAGATTCTATAAGGCATCACTTTCCTCCTAGGAAAAATAAAATAAAAATCCTTTCATTTTGTCATTCACTGACAGATATTGTGTTATTGCAAAGCCTTTACGCTCCCAGCAGAAAGCACTTAATAACACACTACACGCTGTGGTTAAATCAGTCAATGCAAACACACTATATTTGTCACCATCTCATCCTTTCTCCCTTAGCCTTCTCTAGAACAATTTGCCCTACTTCATGCAAAACTAGCCATCATTCCAAACCATATTTTGCCCAAATCCACGCTTCATAACAAGTTAAGCTATGTAGGCAGTTGGCTACCTAYGTGCTCTGGGTTGCGTTAGTCGAAGCTCCACGTCCAGCCCTCCAGCTCCATAATCTCTCTGTCTTGGGCTAGGCAAACGGGGAGCATCTTTTATGTAACCATCTTTGTACCATGTAAATTCAGGCATAACCAGAGGTAGATATTATTAGAATATTATTTTTTACTGATGGAGTATTTAGCTTCATGGTGTGGCCTTAACCTTGTATTTCTCCATGCTGTTTATTATCTGGGATTTTCATGTACCAGCAGTGTGTGGCAGTGCCTTGTAATGCGTGTTGTATATCCACTCTTTGGCTGTTTGCAATGTGTTGTCCTTTTTACTTTAAGGCCACAATTTCAGTTTCAGATATCCCCTCTCTATCAACTCCATGGGGCTGTGACTCACCACAAAGAGTATCTTCCAGGATAGGGCATCACTGTGTGTTTTGTACCTTCTTTTCAGTTCCAAATATAATTTGGTCCCATTGGCTTTGTTCGCATTGTATGAAAAATCCTCCCTCTCCAGAAATTTAATCTCCCAGGAAAGTAAAAAAAAAAGGAAGACAAGACTTTACAAAAAAAAAAAAAAAAAAAAAAAAAAAAAGAGAGAGGTTCATTTTTTGGTATCTCTGTTGTAAGGAAGTAAGTTCGGCTGTTCAGACCCCTTTTTTGAGATCATTGTGGGTTCACATTTCCAGCATATCTCAGAAACCTCCTTTATATTCAAAACCACCAAGAAACGGAGGCACCCCCATTGGCAATGCCAGCTCTGTTGCTCCCCACTGTGACTTTGGGGTCACTCTGACTTTGGGAGGAACGACTGCGAGGAGAGCTGGGCAGGGGCCAGCAGGCAGCTCCGGCTGCCACCTTGACAGTAAATGTCTCTGCGAGCCAAGATTGACCTCCAGAGAGTGGTGAAGCTCCGAAGGCGCAGGGAGCTGGGCAGGGAATGGTGCCAGGGAAGCTCGCTCATTCTCATTGGGATCCCTGAATGACTCCAGGAATAGCACTGTCCTCGTTTTCAAATCTCCCTCTTTCTGAGAGCTCTTCTTCAATCCCTGCTACACACTTTACGCTTTTTCCACCCGCTTTTGGTAATTATCTACAGTGCAAAGCTGTGTGACATGATGAGCGATGAATGCAGGAGGGCCCTGCGATATTTGGTGGTTATTCTAAGCTTGCTGACGACTCGGCTTTTTGCAGAGTTCGCAGACTGAAAGGAGATTTGAAATGCATCCTGTCACGCCGGGTGCCTCCACCGCTTTCATGCTAAACTGCTGGGAAGGCTCCCAGCATATATTTGCCAACAAAGCAGCCAGATTCTTTGAAGATTACAAGAAGCAGGGATTTCTTTTGGAAATTGCTTAATCTATACTTGAACTCTTAAACAAGTCGGGAGAGATGGCTGGTGTCCTCTTGTTCATTCTATTTATCTGCAAAAGCAGCAGTGCCATCGCTTGCCCCCCCCAAATCATGTATATTTACAAGCAGGATGAAAGATGATGTTTGTTTTACTCAAGGGCATCTCTTAGACACGTACTGTGACTGCCCTACTGATCRACACTTGCCAGTATCAGTGACTGTCTGCCCGGACGGTGACAGGTCCTTTCCCCAGAGCACCTTACTTGCTGTCAAAAGCAGTGGGGGAACACGGAGTTCGTTACTACAAAGTTATCTTCTTATTTCAAAATGTATTTTGTTGCAGCGAAGGGAGCAGAAATCGCGCATTCCCCAGGTAAAATGAGGGTGGACTAGGTGGCCATCAATGGAAATACATTTGTGATTTCCATTAACCAAAAAGGCTGAGTTTTGCCTCAAAAAAGAAGAGGTGTGTGTCAGAACTTCTGAAAGATAACGAGAAAGCTCAGCTTCTCRGGGAAATTTTGAGAAAAGCAGGTCAGTCCTTTTCAAAGGAGCACAATATTTTCTGCAATGCTTTAGAAACGATTTCTGTTAAATTAATTCTGCCAACCACTAGAAGAAGGAAATCTTTCCCAGGCTGATAATTCTTGAATACGGTGTCTAAAACCTACCCAGAGACCTCAGAAATCTTTTCTGTCACGCTGCCAGACGTGTCTGCGCTGAGTAACGCTACCTTRTTAAAAACTTGTTAACTGCCACGCAGCTAAATGAAGCCAGTGCCGGCCTGTTACACTCCTGGTACTGTCGTGAAGTTTTCAAAATACCTGGTACTAAATAATGTGAATGCACCTCGACTCTGYATCCATTGAACATGCAGTGATGGCGAATGTGAATCCAATGAGCGTGTCCTCATATTCCTCCCAAATGCCTAACAGTGGGAAGTGACAGTGCAAACTTGTCTGCATCGGGACACGCGCCTTAGATCTGCAGTATCTGAAGGGTAGAAATACGGACACTTCTGTGGTAAGGGCTCTCCTTGCACAGCTTAATCCAGAGAGGAGAAAACCATCTGAAATCAATTTTCCAGACAATGTTATGCTACATTATGCTATATATTCTGCTACATTATGCTATTACTTATGCCGTTTCATTTTAACGTGCCAAAAGCCATCCACCATTGATTTTATGGTTTCTAATGAGGAGTCTCACCTTTGGACAGYGAGGGAGAATTTGTATCAAGCAGAAAACTCTGCATACGTCCGGATTTGGAGAAACTGATCTAATCCAAAGCAGATCTTAACAGCGGCCAGGAACACTATTTATACATGAATGCAGATCTATACGGGAATGCAGCTGGGGAGGCCGTGTCCTTCAGCAGGGACCCGCCCCGATCAGTGGTGCTTTGGTACGAATACTTTTAGCCAGCTTGTTCTCCCAGGAGCATTTTAACATTTTGAGGAAAATCACCCTGCGCCTTTTGTAAAACAATCTCAAGGAGGAAGAAAGGATCCTGCAGCCTCGCTGCTTTGCTTGCAGGGAAGAGACGTTTTGCACACCTGGTAGTAGCCTRAACTCCCCTACAGATTAGGTGAGGGGTGGAAATAGGAAGGAGTTTGTCAGACTCAGGGCCCTGGTTTCGGGAGGGTGCTCGGGAGCGCAGCCGGGCGCCCTTCGATGCTCCGAGCAGAGACTGAACCTGCCTTAGTGACGTTCCCGAAATCTGAAATGTCAAACGCGCTGAGCGCTTCAAGGCACAACCTTTAGTTTTCAAAGGGAAAACAGAGGGGGTTCTATTTCCATTTCCATTTCCATTTCCATTTCCATTTCCATTTCCATTTCCATTTCCATTTCCATTTCCATTTCCATGCAAATGTGCAGCTCCCCTCTTATTGCCAGATACAGCCCCAAACTGACTGCTCCAGCAACATGAAACGCCACCAGAAGGGCAGCTCAGCCGGCAAAACTCTCTTTCCTCCCCCAAAACAAAAACCATCCACTTCTTATTTTCCAGCAAACAGCTAATGGGTAAGAGAGGCGACCTAGAGCTTTCCTGAATTATGCACATCCCCTTTTGCAGYTTGTGGTTCTATATCTGGGCTCATTTTTATGAGTCAGAAATAGAAACATAATTCTTCAGTATGGTTGTATATTCTTTAAAGCTGATCCTGGTAGGTGTCATGAGGCAGTAAGTAAACTTGTAAACCACATAATCCCCCTTGAATTACCAGTTTCTCCCCGCGCAGAGAAATGGTGTTCCAAGCTGTTACTCAAAGCTATGTGGTTTTGCACTGTGTTTCTCACGTACAGGTGTGCATTTAATTAATCATGGCAGTCAGAAAGCGCTTGCTCCAAAAGCCCATTAAGAAAGAAGAAGTCCTTCATAGTCCTTCTAGTTGCAGTAATTACTTTGGAAAATGTGAACCGAACGGAGCAAAAAAAAAAAAAAGGGATTATTGTATATGTCTTGTGGGAGTGTTAATTTAACTCCTGAAGACAAGCATGAGGGATATAAAAACAAAATAGAAAAACAGTAAGAAAAAACTATATACCCCTAGAAACATAAATAACAGCACGTGTTGCCTGGCCGTGCTGCTCGTGTTTGGTGTTCAGAGCGAGCGTGTTCAGAGCAAGGCCCCGTTTTACTGAGCGCCCCGCCGCTGCCTTCCCAGGCGGGCGCTGCCTGCCTAAATACCTCTCCTTAGGCTGGACAAGTCAAACGAGGTTTAGCAAAGGGATTTTCAAATAGGCTTCCGCTGCCTTTTGAAGGCTCACCTGCGTCCCGGATCCTTGTGAAACGCAGCCAGTCTCTGCTAAAAGSGCAGGCACTTAAATCCCAGCTAAGCAATCCACGGGCTGCAGAGAGCCCCTCTGCAAGGGCAAAGGATGTGAAAAAGGTGATCTGTTTTGTTCTGTTTTACCGAAACCAGAGACAGCCTCAAGTGGAGGTATTTAAAACATTTTTATTAGCATTAATCATTGTAGGTTAAAAAAAAACACATAAAAGTACATTTTAGGCCCAAAATATTATTAGGTATGATACAATTAATATGTAAAACAGAAGGTAAAGTATTAACAGATTGCAGCATCTCATACACGAAGCGAGTGGGTCCAGCCCAGTCAAAGCCCTTATATAAAACAAAACAGAGGACGAGCAGTTAACGTGTGAGTTTATGCTGACAGTCGACCACTGCCTCTGGCTTAAATAATTAAGGGTAGGATAATAAAATACATCCTTGCTGTGCTGAGAAGGCCTGATTAGGGGTCGGAGAGCTCCCACGTACAGTCTGTCTGGTTATGCCAGTGACCACGTGCACCGAGGGAGTACTGAGGCCAAGGGAGGAGAGGTGACTTCTCTGGTAATCAACACAGCCCCACGCTGTGCTGAAGCACCAGAAACAAAAGCAGTATTTTTTTGAGTGTGACTGTAATGGCCCAATTCTTGGATATACCGATGGCCTTTTGTGTTAATGTTTCTCAGACAAACGCTTTCTGTCAGGTGCCACCTGCACGCTCAGGACGGGCAGGTCTCGCCGCCCCCTTCGGCCTGCAGACCTGTGGCTCTACCTTCCTAAAGACAAAATGCTCCTTAACAAAAGCTGCACTTACTCTATACACTAGGCAGAATATGTGACCCAGACATAGTGGAAAAACCACTACACGTCAGCGTAACGCTACAAAACTGTCCGTATATACACAAACATATGCAGAGCATATATGAGAAGGGGGCCCTTGGTACTTGTTGACGGGTAACTAGTTCACGGCAGGCCAGAAGAGGCAGCCGCGGCTGGCGGGGCGCCGGGCTGCGGAGGGCAGGGGGGCTCCAGCAGCCGTGCCGGGCTCTGCCGGGCAGCTCCGCCGCTCTCCAGTTCCAGGGAGCAGCCCCCTCGCTGCCAGCAGGCACCAGTGCCGCCGCTGGGGCCCGGACGGAGCCTCTCCAGAGCCCTGGGCTCCTCTGGAGCCGCTCCATTCGGATCCAGCCGCTGGCTGCTGGCAGGAATTGCTGCTGCTGCTACTTGTGCCTTTGAGACCACTTTAGTGGCAGCGTGTCGTCGTTCCAGCTGCTCCGGAAGGGCGGCGGGATTTTCCAAGCGAAAAAGGCAACAAAAGGAAGCCGAAATCATGAATTTTGTATCTGAAAAGCACAGTTTCTAGGGCCATTCCCTGTTTGCAATGGCAGTTTAAGCTACACTTCAGGCTTGACAGAGAGCGGGTAGCGGTGGGCAGCGCCGCAGCCCAGAGCCAGCCCTGGCCTCAGAGCAAACACGCTGCCCGCCACCGCAGGGGCCTCCGGCTCCTCCACCTGCATTCTCTGAGGGCCAAGATCTCCCATGTCAAAGCCTTATTCACTCAAAATCCTCCTTAGTATAAAACCTTTCCTGGACTAAAGGCAGAATTTGGTSATTTGGCCCAACTAATGCAAAAAAAAAGAGTCTTTAAGCCCGCTTTGCCCGCATTTGAGTTTTAATACCTGCGGGAGCACCATTCAGACCATTCCCAAAATTTAAGGCTTTCCAGCATAGAGCCCATGCGGCCGCTCTGCTCCGCACACGGCTCAATGGCAGCTCGGAGAGGCGGCTGGGCAGGGTGGTCTTTAGTCCCGACAGGTCGGCATCTATTGCTGGTTCTAGTGTAAGTGGTTTTACAGAGATTCCAGACATCTCGAGTGGGTTTTAGTGTGTTTTGAGATGTCACATCAAAAAAAAAAACAAAAACAAAACCAAAAACATGCTGTGATTATGAAAACAAATCAGTTGCGTGCAACTAATATATATTAWACAAAAATTTGTAACATCTTTAAAAATGCTGGCTCCTTGTTTTCTCGGAAGCTGGGTGCCACCTTTTGCTGCGATTTATTTAGGAAGAACAAGACTCCTTGCAGCAGTGTCATCGTAAGCCCCATACATTTTATGCATCTGTGCTGTTAATAGTTTGATTTTTCTTTCGTGCTGAAGAACCTGAGTTCATCTCATCTGCCYCACAGTAGCTGCCTGGGTTCCCTCAGCAGCCAACAGGGAGGGACAGGCGGCCCCTGCAGAATTCCTTGTTCTGGGATGRGAGGGAGCGTCTCTCTGCTCCTCCCTGAGGATCACCAACGTCTGCACGACTGCTGGATCTTCTCCTGAAGAATCCTGGACGGATCACATGTGAGAATATACTGGATTTTAGATTCTCAGMTAAGGCAAGACGGGACATTTCCCACGTGTAACGATTTCCTCAATGGCTCTTGGAAGACAAGGAAAGGTGCCCGCTGCTTTCAGCTGGCTCTGGTTCAGGCACTGAGAGTCACTTCCATTTTATCCAAGTAATCTCATGACAAAGCACTGAAGTCTGGCTTTGCATATAAACATGGGTGCCCAGCTCCAGCCGGCCTAGACCTGCTTTAAAATGGAAAGTCATTTTTCTCTTTTGTTTGCTTTTCATACCAGCTCCCTAGCAAATGTACAGTAAGGTCAGTTTTCCTAAAATAGAACAAATTCATACTGTGGAATGCAGGCAGGTTCTGGCTGCTTCAAATTTCCAATGGAATTGATAAAAAAAGAGAAATTTATAGTTTGCACAGCCACACAAATTCACAAAAGATAGAGGTGGAGAACACCTACTGCTTTACATTATTTCTAGTTTCTAACCYCCGTTCCCCTCCCTGCCCCTGCGCTGTATTTTCAGGTGCTTCAAGCTTTAAAGGTCTCAGGAGGAGGGTTGCCAAACCACACTCCTACATCTGCAAAGAGACAATCCTACAAATGAGCAATTGCATTTTGAAGAAACCTCCCWTTCCATTTTATTAGATTCCAGCCCTTAACCCCAAGTCATATTGTGCTCTCCTAAGTCCTATTACTCTTCTGCTGCCCTCCCTTCCACTTCCTGGAAAACCAAAGCGAGACGAGGACGAGTCCTCCAGGCTCCCTGTGCCAGGATGGTGCTCTCAGAAATAAAGGCCGTGGGATGTCTGAGCAGAGAGAACTTTGCTCTAGGACACAGGTTTGGAGGAAACCTCATAAAGAACCAAGATGACGCTGGCATTTTATGTTCTTACACTTCAGTAATTAGTTAAGCTTTTGCTTTAGGAAAGAAGTGACTCTGGACAAGTGCAACGTCTGGAACTTCAGGCCTTTGTGGGGCAGCCAGGGAACCGCATGGCCTCCAGCCACCCCCTTTATGACAATTCCTTCTTTTATAGGACCAGCATCTCCTGGCCCAGATTCTGACTCAGAGCCTGTAAAAACCGTGCTCACTTATCCCTTGGATCCATTTTTCTAGTTAGAAAATTCAGTCCATTTCTTGATGATGTTTGCCGAAAGCATGAGATGAAGCTACAGATTTAGAAAAATACAGCAACAGAGTCCAGCTAGAAAAACAGCAGAGAATCTGCAAGCCAAAATTCAGGTTTTATGGCTTTCTGCCCACTATTATTACACAGAACACTGTAAAAAATGCCAAGTTCACTWTGCAATGTAAAAAGAGAGTATTTTGCAGCAAATCTAAAAATTCTTATGTGTAAAAAGTTCTTTTTATTCAAAAAAAAAAAAATCAGTCATCGGCTTCAACAGAGAATCAGAACTTGGACGCTGTAATTTTGACAGGGTATTAGAGGATTTTCCAACCGGGCTTTGCAAAATCCCTTTGAAGTGAAGCTCYTTCTTTCTGGTCCTTGAATTATTACTCATTGGGAGCGCTGACACGGCCGCGTTCGCGATAAGGAGCCACGGCACGGAGCTCACCAGGTCCCTGCTCGGGGACAAAGCAGACGGGTGGCTTTTCACGCAGGTCCCGGGGCAGGGAACTCCCACGGGGTCAGCAGCAGCGGCGCCCCGTCTGTGCAGTCTGCTTGCCCAGCTTGATCGCGCCGTTGTTACCGTTCTCGTGGGGGTCTAAGGGGGGAATCTGCCGACCTGAAAGACACGAGGAGASGCCGAATGCGGCTTGCCTGGTTTCGGCACCGCTCAGGCCCATAGGGATGAGCGAGTCTGCATAAGAATCACAACTGTGGGATTTCACCAGAACAAACGGCTTTACGGACCTTGAATCCTTTGCTGGCATCCCACGCGGGAAAGAAGCAAGCACTCAATACACTGAAATGAGGTTAGACGTATAAATCAAAACCAATTACCTTGCTGAGAACCCTTGGAACAAAGCAGCAAAGAAATTCCCAGCTTCCTCCAAATTCCACTGAAATGTGAGCGGTGCTAGTTTAAAGATCTTGACTCTCAAAGCTGTGAGGCATTTAGTGCGCTAGAGCCTTACAAAACGCAGCAACCACGCACATGCTGCCCGCACTTGGAAAAGGAAAACAAGCGTGTCCTTTACATTGGATCCCTCCTGCCTTTTGCTTGTACCTCTGTGTTCCCAGACGATGCTGAGACTACTTGAAAAACTCTTATTCTGGACAATTTCATCACCTTATTATATAATTATTTCAAGTGTTTGGAAAGCATTTCAGCTTCCCAGGAGCTCCAAAGACCTCCCCTTGGGCAGGCAGTATTTCTCCTCTTCTGTGCTGCTGCATCTTCTAACTGGCTTCCAACTCATGGACAACGTGTAATATAATCATAATTATCATGGGAGAAGCAAGTTTTTAAGGAGCAGGCCCCTGTCACGGGTACAGGCCTGGCTTCTCCATTCCTTTGTGTATCCCCTCTGTCACTCTCTTTGCAGAGCTTGCAATCATGGTAACTTCCTTTCTCATTACCTTGTGGATCTGCTAGAAATGCTTCCCAAAGCTGAATCTGCTTTCTGGGAACTACGCCTGGTTTAACCATTACACATATCAAACAACAAGAGTTAAAATATTTAACATTTGTTTGCTCTGTGACACTTTCAGAGCACCAAATCAATGCTCCTGGGWAGAGCATTTCATAATCCAACTCAATGTTATAGTTCAGATTTCTCCCCATCCCTTGCTGTATTTAATCACAAATTTGTTGCTAAATGTTCAGCGTGTTACATATATTAAAACCTGCTAATTACTGGCCTTTTTATTATTATTAATTATTTATTTTTTAATCCGAGCTAAAGCATTTGGGAAAAATCCACTCTGAATGAGATAAAACAGACAAACTTCATCTGCACAACTTATCCCTAAATTACCTTTAATCGAACTCATAAAAATTTCATCTATCATCGTATTTATTCCATTCTGAACAGGCACTTTGGGTAGCAAAAGCATGCAGCTACCGGAACACATAATATTGGGTGTTTGCACACCCAAACAGGAGGGCAAAAACTCCTCACAGCAGTAGGATAAAAATACAGTGTTTAACCCAAGGCAATGAGCACCAGGTACCCGGAGGGCATTGGCAGGCGCTGACAATAAAGTGCTGCACTTTGGTTTAGGTCGCTAGAATATGAACTTTACCTTCACTAGAAACATTAAGGCTAAACTGAATGCAAGGGCCCTTCCAAAAAAAAAAAAAAAAAATACAAAGCAAAATGGGTGGTCAAAGACGGGCACTATGTGCATCAGAAAGATTATTCAGACCTTGTATTTATAAAAGCTGTTCCAAGAAGGTAACMCTGACATTTCAGGGACATGGAGAACAAACCTGCATTAAGTTCCTACCCTTTTAAAAGAACCTGAACTGAACCAGCTACAATAAAATCCTGCCCATTTCTCTTACATCAACTGAAAACCACCACATACCCCTAAGTAAGCACTTTCTTGGCATTTGATTCTGCTAATGGCACTTGAAGGAGGAGAGCGTGTACAGGCAAACTGGCCTAAAGTCTATTTTAGAAGTCTATTTTAATGATTTATTATGTTACTTCTATTTGCTTTTCATTCAGCAGTTCAGAGTACTTAGAGGCGTTTTAAGTCTTTTCCAGAGCGCTCTGATGAGTATGCACAGGAGCAGGCAGGCTTCTCTGGCACAAATATATTGCAGGCTTCAAGGTCAGAAAGCACTTGGTCCAGGTCAGACCAGGACAGAGGACACAGTTAAGAATCAGCCTGGTTTATTCCATTCCTCAAAGCAATAAATCTACACAGACAACAACTACACATAATAAAAAAGGAAAAAGTCTCTAGACATAACATTTGCTGTTAGTCATGCTAGCTTTTGAACACAGGTGCTGCCTTTTATTAACTAGTGCTGTTTCCTGCTGGATTCTCCTTTCATATTCATAGAATCTTTATGATTCATTGAGGCCTTTCATTGGGCCCAACCATAAGCTCCTCAACACCATCCTGCTAAACGTGTCCCTAAGTGCCTCCTCTGCATGTTTCTTGAATACTGCCAGGGATGGTGATTCCACCACTTCCCAGGGCAGCCTCTTCAGGTGCCTGACTGCTCTTTCTGTGTAGAAATTCTTCATGGTGTCTAACCTGAACCTCCCCTCATGCAGCCTGGGGCCATTTCATCTTGTTCTGTTGGTAGTTACTCTGGAAAAGAGACCGACCCCCAGTTCACTACAGCCTCCTTTCAGGTAGCTGTAGAGAGCAATGAGGTCTCCCCGAAGCCTCCAGACTAACTAACCCCAGCTCCCTCAGCCACTCCTCATAAAGTCTGCGCTCCAGCCCCTTCCCCAGCTCCGTTGCCCTCCTTTGGACCCACTCCAGCACCTCAGTGCCCCTCTTGTAGTGAGGGGCCCCAAACTGAACACAGTATTCGAGGAGTGGYCTCACTACTGATCCATCCCTTCCCTGGCCCTCCTGGCTGCCCTGTTCCCGATCCCAGGAGGCCGTTGGCCTCTCGGCCCCCTGGGCTCAGAGCTGGCTCACGCTCGGCCGGCTGCCGACCGGCACCCCCAGATCCTTCCTGCCGCGCAGCCCCAGCCACCCTGCCCCAGGCCTGCAGCGCCACGCGGGGCTGTGGGGACTGCAGTGCAGGACCTGGCGCTTGGCCTTGCTGAGCCCCACGCGGCTGGCCTCAGCCCATCAATCCAGCCTGTCCAGATCCCTCTGCAGAGCCTTCCTGCCCTCCAGCAGATCAACTCTTCCTCCCAGCTTGGTGTCATCTGCAGACTTGCTGAGGGTGTCCTCAATCCCCTCATGCAGATTGGCAATAAAGGTATCCAAGAGGACTGGCCCCAGCACTCACCCTGCATGATCGTCGCATTTTCAGGCTTCCAAGATTTTCTCCAATAGGCGAGTATTCTCTCACCTATTCTTTCTCTTGTTGCCAGATTTGTTAAGCCATGAAGTTAAATCTTTTTAGTAACAGGATGTACCCTTGCTCAAGCAGCTTCTACCAGCTGATGTACAGCTGACAATAGCAACTGCTGAGAGCATAAAACTCGGTCTAACACCTTGGAATGAGACACACAGTAAATGATAGTGATTCTTCATTGACAGTCAGGGTAAATAATGTTAATTTTGAAAACTGGATTTGCATTGCACTGTAATGGATCTCTCAGTATTTACAAAATGACATTCAGAAATCTATTTGGCCCTAAACATAAAAGAAAATGCTGGGCCAGATTTGTCTCTCCCTGGGCCTCCCTGGCAGCTCGGCTCAMAGGAGAAGGGTTTGAGAAAGCGGCACTGGAACCCACGGCATCAGCAGCGCGGTGCTGAGCTTCCAGCTGCGTCTGCTGCTCCCAAGCCAGATCCATCACTACAGCTGCATAAAAGCATGGCAATCACCTAATAATTCAGCTCCTGATAAATACAGCATCAATATTCCCAATACCAACTCAGTCTGGCCAGCACGGAGTTAGAATCAGAGGTCATTTGCTGAATTTCTTTAAAATAGTATATATACTGGCCCACTGGCCTACACAGGCCCTTTTCCAGAGTAATATGAGATACCCATGTAGTGGGTAACCTCCAGCAATGATATTTATTTCTGCTATTTCTTTCATGCAGTTGAAGTCAGAGGAGATCAGTAGTGCCCTGACATTCAGCACAGGAAATCTCCAGTTCAAGAAATAAATGCGTTAAGACAATTCATCTTCAAACCAAAGATTGCTCTGATAAGATAAAATTCTCTCAGAAGTTCCAGATTAAGTTCAGAGAAAGCTCTTCTGTTGCTTAACTTGAAAGAGAACAAACTGAAGTATCTTTTCCACATTTTACAGAGCAGGAGATCACCAGCCAGCTAACATTTTGGCTGCAGAATACAAACAGTGTTTTTAAGACTCCAGATGAAATGGCCAATCACCCAGGGAAAAATAAACGTGCATACATTTATCTAAGAACTCAGACACTTTATTGGGAACTTAAGGATATAATACTAAATCATTCTAATAGACATCATAAAGTTCCATATGGCACCTATTGCTGGCATTTCTATGCAGTGAAGYCCACTGATTGGGATTTAAAATTAGAGTTAACTGCATTCATTAGATACCTGATTATAAATTCGTTTCTACTTCACTAATGCTTAAGGTATCATTCTCAGAACATTTTGTGCAACAATAYTGCTTTACAAACATGCATGTGCAAACACACGTGCAGAGGTCTCGGGGTCCTCTTCGATCTGCTTCTAGCAAGCACAGCATGGTGCATATAGTAAAGTAAATCACCAGGGACTGCTCAAAGACAGGATTACCGAAATTGTCAAGGCTCTGAAGTGAAATATCCACATTAACAGGTGGGAAGCACTAAATCAATTGTATCTTTTCTTTCTGGCATGTCTGAGGCAGTTCAGAGTGAAGGTCAGAGCCTTCTCCAAATGCTTGGTGGGGATCCAACTGCTGCTATTGAATTGGAGACTTGTTAATGGAAAGAGATTAATCAGCACTCTGGGAGTTGGTGCTCTGTGAGAGCCAGGGACAAAGACACTGGGAAATAAGAGGGTGAAACAAGAGCTTAACAAAAAGGGAAGACAGAAAAATGAGAACTGGAGCAGGAAGCAAGAGGGACAACAGGCACTGGGCAACAGCTCTGCAGGAAGAACTTGGAAAATAAAAAAATCAGAGGAGCCAGGTGCAGCAGTAGGCTCCAGCTGCAAAG